TATCATTCAAATAGAAAAGACATTACAAAGATTAATTTCATAAAAGACTCACCTTCAAAATATAAACTTCTTCATTCTGTTTTAATTTTACAAACTATCATCAAAGAAAAAAGGAAACAGGACAAATTTATAGGCTATGTGGCTTAGTGTTTCCACAAACTCCTTCCTTCTTCCTTTTTTTAACTAAAGAAACTTATTTATTTTCTTTTTTCTCTCCTTAGGCTTGAGCCTGTTGAAAAAAACTCCTTTAATAGTGTTCAAATGAAAACAAAAAAAAAAGGAAAAAAGAAAAGTGATGAGAAAATTAATATAATGAAATAATCAATGCAAATGACATTCCATTGTCCGTCCAGAAAAAAATCTTCAATCAACTCTCTTAGAACTACTGAATCTGATGGGTAATTGTGGCTTAATCTCTAATTGTAAGATCAAGGCACATTGTGAGAAGTACTGCCAGCATTAAATAGACATTTTTATGGTGCTCATTTTAAGGTGGAACTTCAAAGAAATTGAAAACCATTAATCAAAAACATAAATCATCTGTACCAATTATTAATTGAAAATCCCTAAATCTGGTAAAACTAAAATTTACATTCATCATCAAATAATACTCATCAATGCTTTATTTTTCTAGAGTCTTACAGAGTAGGAAAAGTTTGGAGAACATTTTTTACAATAATTTTAACTTTTTCCTCATCAGATGACTGAATTTGAAATGTGTCCACACGGCTAAAGAATCAGGGTTTTGCCAGGGGTTAGGGGCAGTGGGTGAGAGGGGTAAGAAATTTATTTATAGTGTTTGTTCTATGAAAATAGGCAACAATGTATCCATTGCTTAAGTTCTTCTATGTTGTTTGGGGAAACAATTTAATAATATTTTACGTATGCACACACATAGCAGTTCACAGCTTCAAAAATGCTTTCCCATGTATTAGTCATTTTCTAACAAGTTTTATTTTTATAATGATTTCCTAACCTCATTAGGTCTCAAAAAATGACATGACTGGGCTAAGCAATCATTAAGGCTTTTTCCTGCTTTGATTCTATTATGTTTTCCAACTGTGGGCTTTGCCTAACCACAAGCACAGCTCAGTAAATTCCTCTCCTCTGTGTGTTTTTGTGTTTGTCTCCATCACTTTGGTGTTGTCCCAGTAGACACATCGAAGGGCATGCTGATTAAATTAGTCAAATTAACTCTTTGCCTGACTCTATCCTCATTAGGCTAATGAGCAGACTCGGGAGTACGTCTGTGCAACTCAGTTGTCTTAGGTCAGAAGTACTGTCACTAGGAGCACCAATGAGAAGCCATAATTGTGACACTCTTTAGGAGTTTTTAGCTGGCAGCTCATTTGCCATCCTTTCTCAAGAGAGAGCATGTGGCTCCACTGAATAGAAGCTGTAATGTGTTGGGCAATCTCATTTTCTCTGCTGGATCATTGTAAAAGAAGGTGTAATTTTGTTTCCTCCCCCAGGAAAGAGTTTCTGGGGTAGGCAAGTGTGAGAGATGTTGAACAAGTATTAATCAAAGTGGGGGAAATCCTATTATAACCATACGGTGCTGTGAAGAGATAGATCTTAATGATGGAGTAGCCACGGGAGTCGCTGCTCCACAGGTTGGTTGTGATTAAGTGTGTGTTTGTATGTAGGGGATGAGAAAAGGTGACTTGGAGATAGATTTGGGGGAAAGATAGATGGGGCAGGGAGTGGTAACAAGCAGCTTCAAAGGTCAAGTGCTCTCTGCTTCTAAAAGGCATGCTTCCCTGTCCAGATCACACAACAGAACACTGATTTGACTAAGTGACATTTCCTACACATATTAAGCATGAATCTAAGATTTTCACACTGGCCAAATGATTTTCAGTGCTTGAGTACATTTACCAAACTTCAAACACTGCAGGTGGATGGCAAAGTGGGCAGCACATGGTAGGTACCAAATTCATGCATTTGGTCAGAAAGGCATTGTGGGCAACAGCTGTGTTTCGATATTATCACTGGCTGAGTCCCAGTGGGAGCAGGCAGAGTGGCCTATGCAATGGCTTCCTCTGGGTGAGAAGATGATGTGGTTGAAGGTGCAGCACAACATCCAGGGCCGTTGGTCCATTTAAGATGGAAGTCCTCTACTGGTTTTCTAGAAGGAAAAAAAAAATGTCATTTCTAACCCTATGAGTATTGGCTGAGGCAGAAGTTTCTCTCTTTGGGCCTTTAAGGGGTAAACTGTATCATCCCGTAGGCCTGGAGGTACACAATGTGCATATACACAACCAGTGAATGTCTAATGTTCTGGAAATTAGGTGAAAACTATGCATCCAAATTTCCAGAATTTTTTAGGTGAAAAAAATGGGAGACAATTTTTTTTTTGAATTATGATTTTGTAGGGCACAAAACCCTTGTTTGAGTTCAAGGTTTACTACTTCTCAGTGGTGTGACATTCTTCTGGACAGTTTTTTAGAACATTGATCAGGAGAGTCTAGAGCTGTGTTTATGGCTCTGGGGCAGCTGAGAAAGTTACCTGCTGGGAATTGTAGTGGATCTGAGAAGTACCTGGCACCATTCTTATAACAACAGTCCATGTTTCTGCACTTCTTGACTTTTCATTTGCCCAGACCTTGCTGAGATGTTTAGCCATTGCAAACGATCTGGTTTCATCTTGGCTGTAGGATCAGGCATACTAGAAAGACAAGTTCCATGGGAAAAACAAAGGCTTTTGGTAAAGGAACACTCTTGTCATCACACCGTTTCAGATTTTACCAGCAGGTTTATGCCCTGGCTTTACTTTCTGCCATCTGTCTGTATTTACCATCCATATCCCCATCCATAAAATGGGGATAATTAATCTACTTACACCATGAAGTCATTGTGAGGATTAAATAAAATAATCCATCCAAAATGCTTTATTCTATGCACATAGTAAGCACTCAGTAAATGTTAGCTGCAATTACAAATGTAGCCCATTGGATCTAGGGCTAGAGTAATTGCTTGAATCTTTCTCTTTTTCAATTGAAGTATAGTTGATTGACAATGTCATGTGAGTTTCAGGGGTACAGCAAAGTGATTCAGTTATGGAGTAGCTGCCTGAATCTTAAAGTATTACAATGATTAGTGACACAACCTTTTTTTTAGTTGATAAAATACAGCATTTTTTTATTGGATGAAATAAAATCTTCCTAGCCAAGAGGAGGCCCCATAGCTACTGTGGGCCATGAATGAGACTGGTTCCTTGAAGAATGACTTCAATATTGTCAGGCTGGTAAAGTGGGAAGAACACCCTTTCTCTGTTTTTCTCTGTTGGAGGGGAGGGCTATGCCAGTGAAATGACTTAAGCTCTACCATCCAGCTGAGTGTGGCGAGGTAGCTCTTGTAGTGAACACTAGCCCATGCCTCCCAGTGGGCACAGGTGAATGGCCTGTTAAAGTGCTACTGAAGTCTCACAGGCTATGCTGAGCATTCCAGGGCAAACCCCGCTCAAAGGCCCAGAGCAAGCTCAAGGACATGGGAGGAAGAGTTGTTGGTGATGCATTCCGTGGGGCCACGGTGAAGGGCAGCCCAAGAACCTGGAAAGATCATCCCCGAGGTGTTTCTATGAAACAAACATTTATTATATCAGAGCAAAGATATATGATTACCTTAAAATGGCAGAATGCCTCCCAGGCTGAAGCTGATGGGAAGGTATTTCATATGGCAAAAGAGGAAAAAAAAGTCTTCATCTGAAAGTTGATTGGTCAATAATAGTGTTAGGTTCTTAGATAAGTTGGGGGCACCAGGCAGATAGATGGAGGAAGGGAGGATGGTCTGGAAGATGGTGTTATGCTTGCTTCCAGTATAAAGGGACTTTACTTCTTCTAAATGAGTGCCAGCAAGAAATGGGTTAAAACCAGACAGTCACAACTGCACAGGAGCAGAAAGGACTTAACTGGACACAACCCAATGTTCTTTGTATTATAATTAACATTGCAGTTTATCTCCACACCCCATGGGCTTTTCTGTGTGCATCATGGGTAAGGACATGTGCAAAGGGGCCAAACACGACTAAGCACTCCAGGGACAAGAGCTGTCAATCAATCAAGAGACCACTTCTAAGTGAGAGTATAAGAGACAGGGAGAGAAAAATCACAGCTCTTTCCTTCCTGGGATCAGCCAGCCTCCCATTCTTGGAGGCATACTTTTCCTTTCCTAAATAAATCTTAAGAAGTGTTTTCACTACACAACATACCATCTCCCAACAGTAAACTTCTCTTTATAAACAAGAACTGGGGTCTTTACATTTTGGGGTAACAATGGGGTAGGTCAAAGGGGGCAAAGATGAGCTTTCCATCTCCAGTCCTATCCAGAAGGCTGGGTATCCTGGACCACAAGCCCAAGGCCCTGGCCTGTGCAGTGCAGGCATCTCAGGGCAGACATTCAGGTTGGGCAGCGAGCTTCTGACTCTGTCTGCATCAGGCAGTCTTCTGATGAGCACTGACCTGCCCAGATCTACCCATGGAGAGAGAGAACTGTATTGTGAGTGAATAAATTGCCATTCTGGATTCTTGTTATTGTTGTGCTGGTGACTCCACAGAGTTAACACTATTCATCATTATCCCCTACAAATCCTTACAGGTCTGTTTGTAAATATGTATGTGACTGCACAATTGAAATACAATTCAAAGTGATTAGGCAAAGCTTATAGCAATATAGAAAGAGAATCTATAAAAGTACTGGAGAATCACTAGGAGCAAAAGTAATTAAAAAATGAAGATCTGGTGGAGTCAGTGATAAATAATTGAAGGAAAAAAATCCACAAGGTTCATGAAGTATATAGATAGGTCAAAGGAGTATGATTTGATAATTAAAGGATTATTAGATGTCCTTGGGAAAAATAATGAAAACCATGAATATTTTTGCAACAGTGATCCTTCTTTATGAGCATATGAAAAGATCAGTTTGAAGAGAAGACTGTCATTCTATTATTATTATAATTTTAATATAGAGAGTTGTATATATAGAAGAATATACAAAATATAAAAAATATGGAACGCTTCATGAATTTGCACATCATCCTTGTTCAGAGGCCATGTTAGTCTCTGTCTCACTCCAATTCTAGTATACAAGCTGCTGAAGTGATAGGCATTCTGGATTCTTAATGTCAGACTCAGGAATTGGGTTGATGTGAGTCATGCTCTTGGGCCCACGTACATTTGGATGTATTGATCACTGAATTTCCAACTTGCATATCCATGATCCAGACCCTTGGTGACTACACTAAGGCTCTTCCTCTCTGTGGGAACCTGTCAGAAGCTAATTGGCTTTTCCCAGGAAGTATAGCTCTATGTTTTTCAAACTGCAACATGCATTTGACATAACTGTAAGGGGAAATCAAGGCCTTTATCAGTGCACTTAGTGTTAATCCTGTTCTTGCCATCACCATAGAAATACTTGTGAAGGGAATTTAAAAATTGCCTCTGAATTTCTTTCCAAAGTCTTCCAAGTGTTACTCCAAAAGGGGAAGGGAAAAGATCCCAGTTCTTATCATACCTGAAAGATAAGAATTCAGAGGGAAGATGGAAGTGTTATGTAGTGAAAGATTTTAGAGGATTTGTTAGCAAAGGGAAAATACACCTCCAAGAACAGGAGGTGGGCTGACCCAACAGCAGATGCAATGGTCTTTTTTTGCCCCCTTCTCTTATACCTTTGCTTAGAGGTGGTCTCTTGATTGATTGACAGCTCTTGCCCCTGGAGTGCTTAGTCATGCTTGTCCTCTTTTGCACATGTCCTTACCCATGATGCACACAGAAAGGCCCATGGCAGGGGCCTAAACTGCAATGCTAATTATATTACAATGAGCATTGTGTCATGTCTGGTTAAGTCCTTGTCGCTACTGCACAATTGCAGCTGTCAGGGTCTGACCGATTCTTGCTGGCTCCCATTTAGAGGAAATAAAGCCCCTTTATGCTGAAGGTGGGCATACAGCCATCTTCTGGACCGTCCTCCCTCTCCTCCACTTTATCTGCCCCCACTTGTCTAACTACCTAACACAAGTGCTAAAAATGAGTCTCTACAATAGGGCTTTTCTACTTACAGTGAAACAAGGACAAAAGACAAGTCACCTTTGCAAAAACCATCTCATGTACTAGTTTTTAAGTTGGAATGTGTAAAGATGAAGTTTAGAAAACAGTAAAATTAATATCCATGTAAATTGCTGTGAAGTCTCACAAGAATGATCTCTGGCACCATTGATCAACCCATGCTACTATCAATGCCTTATGTTTGTAAGTGTTTTAAATCTTTTCTAAAGTTCTCTGACTTCTTTCACATAATTTGATATTCATAACAACCCATGAGGGTAGTAGATAAGTGAATATTATTATTCCTACCTGAAAGTTGAAGAAACTAAGAGATGAGGAGTTTATTACAGGGCTTCCCTATGATTGGTGGGAGAGGAGAGAAGAGGCCCAGCCTGACCCCGTGCCTGGGTGTGTTCCCTCCACTATACCACGCTGTTTGCTCATGCTCACACTGGCTGTTGACAATACTCACAGCTGCAGAACTGAATCTCCACAGCCAGTAACAATGAAGAGATTGTGCCTTAACCTACTCATTTCACGTCTATAGACAATCAGAGCCTACGACACCTCCAGCTCTAACAATCACTCAAATGAACTGTTCTCAATGAACATGATCACCATGACCCTTTATTACCCATTGCTTTTCCCCAGATTATGATGGCATCACCTCTAGATAATCAGTTCCACATTTCTGCATCTTTTCAAGATTTTTAGCCAGGGATGGAAGTCTGTTGTCATGGAAAAGCTTGATTTCCATAGAGGCATCAAATCTGTAATTCTGGTCTTTTCATTATAGCTTCAGATAAAAAAATCATCTTATCCTTTCCAACACAAGTCTCAAAATGGCTATTTATTCTTTTATAAACCCTTTTTACCTTGTTGCAGTTTCCTTCGGAGACTTCCTGTTTTTCACTGATTCTACTCTGGTCGGTTGAAAATGCTAAAACATTTTTCTTTTTCATCAGGTCTGTTCTCTTGAAACTCCTCTGCTGCCTTTTGAAATCACATTTTAACTTTGTGGGATTTTTTTTGTTTTTCTTTCAGATTTCTATCAAACTGATTTTTTAAACCAGTCAAAATAAATAATAACTATAATACAACTCCTCAATTTTCAGCAATAAATAATTCTGGCAATAAGAAGGGAAATGAAACTAATAAATGAATTTTCATACCATGCTGAGAAGAATAACTGTAGGAAATTATTAGATTCTCTTCTGTAAATGTCTTCGTATAGAGCTGGCATTTTGCTACGCCCCACCTTGCTCCCAAAGGGTGTGCATTTTCTAGCCAAAAATTTCCATGAAGGTAAATGTGAACAAGATGTTTATAAATAGAATAAGAAAGGGAGCCAGGGAGGAGAGAGAGAGACAGAAAGATAGAGACAGAGAGACTGGGGTTGGGATGATTGGAGAAAGAGAAAGAAATACTCAACCCAAGCTTGTGTTAGGCAATCCTCTGACACAATGCTGCCTAGCAGAAGGATCAGGCAGGATTTTTCTACATCCATAGAATCAAGAAGCACTGAAAATCTCCAGCTTCTTTAGAACGATGTGTGATGGACCTGGCACCCGTATTTCCTGGGTTTGTCCCCAGAAATAGGAACTGGTGTGTGAGGAACACTCCCAGAACAATTCACCAGAGACTTATCATCAAATAAAAAATGGAATTGTCCTTCTTCTCCCATTTTTAGAAGCACATCACTTATTGAACAAAATGATCAAGGCACTCCACAGTGCATTGCAGGTATTTCCATAGACGGTTGTAATGGATCTTGCCTCTGGAGACAGACGTTGTGGCCTTTTCTATAAATGGGGCTCAGGTCAAGACCTGTCAATCGTGATTCACTGGTATTTTGAGCTGTGTTCCCAGAAGTCTGGGGGTGAGTGAGGGATGACTTATCAAACACTGGTCCATTCTGTACCAGTGGGAATATTGAACCTGATGTTCAAATACTGAGGACAGAATGATATTTCAATCATGTCAGGCTCCAGTTAGCAGGAACTGAATGTAACAAGCTTTAGGTTTTCAGAATGACTTTATGGAAAACGACGTGAATCAGAAATTAAGTTTGAGATAAAATACAGTGTTGCCAATGGCACATTACAGTTAGCATTAACTGCATTGACTGGTCTGTGACACAGCGCCATTTACCAGTGGAATCTAGACATTTGCTCATTTGTAACTGCTTATTTAGTTGGAAGTTTATCAGGTTTCCATGCTAAGTGTCTTGCCTTACATCCCTTTTTCTTTCACATTAGTAAATAGAAATAAGAAGTTTTCTTCCTTATAAATACAGACCAGAAAGAGATCAACAGAATGCTGTAATACATATTCAAGATTAGTAGATGTTAATAAAATTGCTAATTGGATCTGGAAGGTAGAGCTGTGGCAAGGAATATATTCTAGAGGGTTTAAAAAAATTACTCCTTTTATGTGGAGGAGATAGATTAGAAGACAACTCTGGTTTTGGGATCTGGAGTGGCCTGATTTCTTTGGAAAGTCTCCATTTAGTTTATTGAATCTTGTGTTCATGGTATCTTTGGAAGAAGATGCTCAGTTTTCTTAGATTTTCTTCTCTGTTGCAAAATGACAAGGCTCAACATTACTTGATTTCAATTGATACTATTTAGTCTGGAAAGCTGCAAAGATAGGGTGGCAGGCAGCAATTACTTATTCATTTACTATTTCATTGTTAGTACCTCTCCTAACTGTAACTGCTACAGACAAGCATTTCCTATTTGCCATCCTTCACAATGATACATTGGGAACATCAGCTTCTCCTGCCTTTTCACATGTTTGTGCATCTGTGCATATATGTCTTTTCAGAAAAGAATACTCCGTATAGTCTTTGGAAGAATTTTAATTAAAAAATGGTTATAACTTTGACTTTCAGATAGAAAGCGAGGAAATACATTTTTGGTTTTAGTCTATTGTCGAGATAATTTGAAGCCTAGGAAATTATAAGCCTTTCATTAATGTACTTATTTGCAGAGAAATTCCTTCCCGAATATTTAGTAGATTGAAAATGCCTGGATAGTGAGTGAGTCTTATGTGTCTCTTCATTTGCCATGGCATCTAGGAAGAGTTCTGTAATCTGTAATCTTCTTGCTTCAGAAGAGTATTTAAGGTAGATTACCACTGAAGACACATGTAGAGTAGAATTACTAAAGATAAAAGGAAAGAATTAAAATTTGATAGGCAGGAAGAGAATTATAGCCGAAACCTGGGCTATTATTGAATACTGTAATTTTAGCTCAAAGCTTCCTAAGACAAGAAACACACATGATGGATAAATATTTTTTCATTCTTGATTGCAAGAAAGTAAATCATTTTGACAAGAGCCACACGCTTTTATTGATAAAATAATCTGAAATAGATTCATCCTATGGCTCTGTATAGGGAGAAAAGTGAGCTGTGTGAAGTCTATCTTAAAGAGGATTTTTTTTAAAGCAGAAATGCTCTGGGTATGATTATTTCTTATATTGATACTTGAACACAAATGAATGTGCTTGCCTACTCTTAAAATGTAATTCAGCAGTCACCACGAACAAAAACTTTGCATGGAGGATTGTCATATCCTAGAAATTAGATGGCTGCTTAGAGTTACATAAACAAAGAGCTGGAAAGAGTTCAGCATGACAGCAGCAGCAACAAAAATACACTCAGGCAGAAGCTGCACTAAACAAAAGCCTCGCCCTGGCAAGCAGCGGAGGGAAGTTACTCAGACTCGGCAGAGCCCTTTCTGAGAAACCTCTGCTTCCAGGCTGGGAAGGTGGAAGGCTTTCTCCTCAAATCCCAAGCTTCACTGGTCATTTTGTCTAAGAATTCTGCCCAGAGCGACCTTTGTTAGACTTCCCATCACTCACTGCACCTGATCCAGACCCCCAGGGAAAGAGCTCTCTCCTACCTCAGGGCCTTGGCACATTCAACTCCCTCTGCTGAAAACCTCCACCTCCACCTCCTCCCACTGCTGGCCCCCAAACCACCATCAGTCCAGAGTAGTCTCTGCTTAAAGGCCACTTCCTTCACACAATCTTCTTTGCCTGCCTGAATCCAAGTTAGGTGT